CCAAATATCATCTTCACAGTAGAAATATGTACATGGATCAAGCCCCATCCCCTCTTTTTTTATTTCCTTACAATCTTTCATAAACATATACTAACTAAAATTAAAATTAGGTACATGGACCAAGCGTAATTTTCAGACATTTGATGGAAGCAGTGATTTTGCCGGCACACCAGAACCCTGGGATGTAAAAGCATACGTTTCGAAAGTGACAATTCGTATTGTAAACGAAAGTTCTGATGGTATGACGCTGGAATTTGATCTGATTGGTACCGAAGCACCAATTGCGAACGCAATTCGACGGGTTCTCATCGCTGAGGTTTTATTTTTATGCTTTTTTTTTGCATCTATGCAATGCAGAAAACGCATATTGACGAAAGGTTACTGTGTGTGTGTGTCTGTCTGTATGTGCGTCTGTACCGATTTTTTATCTCGAGACCCAGAAGAGTTAAAAGGCTAAAATTTTTGAAATTTTGGTGACCTAATCTACACGCGGGAGTGGGCTTCTTCCCGCAGAATGGGCGCTCCAGCTTGTGTGGTCCCCACGTATGGACCCGTGAAAATTTCTGACAGGTCAGTTGCTAGCTCGGGAGCCAGAAAAGCTAGAAAGCTGAAATTTTAAGGGGATGTTCCCCGTTGACATAAAACCTGTGCTTTTTTGAATCCATGCAATACAAAAACGCATATTGTCGAGGGGTTGTCTGTGTGTGTATCTGTCTGTCTGTATGTGCGTCTGTACCGATTTTTTATCTCGAGACCCAGAAGAGCTAAAAGGCTGAAAATTTGGTAACCTAATTTACACGCGTGTGCGGGCTCCTTCCCCTAAAATGGACGCTCCAGCTCGCGTAGTTCCCACGTATGGACCTGTGAAAATTCCTGGCGGGTGAGTTGCTGGCTCGGGAGCCAGAAAAGCTAGAAAGCTGAAATTTTAAGGGGATGTTCCTTGTTGACATAAAACCTGATGACTTCATGTTCAGCGCCCGGGTACGCGTGGCACCACGTATGGGCATACGAAAATTTTTGGCGGTTAATTTGCTAGCCCGGGAACCAGTAAAGCTAAAAAGCTGAAATTTTAAGGGAATGTTTTCTGGCATGTCTTGTTGACCGGTCTCAATCCTTTTAGCTAGAAGTATCTATCAAAAAAAATAACGCAGTTAGCGACAAAAATCTGCGGGGAACTATGCGAAAAACGCATCTTCGCACAGGCAGTTTGTGTGCTGGCCAATTATTTACTGCTCTTCTCTTGAAATTCTCGTTTTTCAGCCAAAAAATTCTGGCCTGTGCAAATGTTTTTTTCAACTTTCCGGTGGCTTTTTTCGTGTTTTTGCAGTCCCAGTGAAGCTTTCGCAATCTCTCATTTGGTTCTTTTTTTTTGCAGCTTCCGACCATGGCAATCGAGAAAGTGTATCTTTACCAAAATACTTCAATTATTCCGGTATGTTTTTGAAAGTCATCTTTGATTGTCAAAGATTTTGATTTTTTTTTTTTTGATTTTTTTTCTTGATTTGATTTTTTTTTTGATTTTGACTTTTTTTGACAAGGATTTGACAATTTTGACAAAAAATCTTTGACAATCATGCTGCAAGGAGGCTTTTTTTTAAAAAAATTATTGTTTATTTACCAATTTTTATGCTTTTTTTTGCATCTATGCAATGAAAAAACATATATTGTCGAGGGGGTGCCTGTGTGTGCGTCTGTACCGATTTTTCATCTCGAAACCTACAAAAGCTACAAGGCTGAAACTTTGGAAACTAAATCTACTCGCACATGTGGGCCTCTATCCCTAGAATGGATGCTTTTGGATCCTACTTACAGGCCCATGCAAATTTTTGTGGGTAAGTTGCTAATTCGAGAACCGGAAAAGCTAGAAAGCTAAAATTTTAAGAGGATGTTTTCTAACAGTCCTGGTGGTGAAGTCTCAGTTCTTTTAACTAGAAGCATTTGCTGGAAAAAACAGGCCGTAAGCAACAAAAATATGCAGGGAAGTATGCAAAAAACACATCTTCCCACCGGTAGTCGCAGCGCTGCCCATTTGTTTCTTTTGTGGGATTTCGTTTTATTTGGGTTTTCAGGATGAGGTTTTATGTCATCGTTTTGGGTTGCTACCGATCAAGGCAGATCCACGATTGTTTGAGATGCCACTTACACGGGTTATTGGGATCAATGAATCCGGTGTGGATTGTGATGAAGAGC